CTTGTAGCACGGGAATGCCCTAGGCCGGGGCCAGGGAGGCTGTGTGGTGGGCATGTGCATGCCGGGGTGCATGGCATGCGCCCTGCCCACGCACCTGCAGCGGCCAGCAGCAGGCGGGGGCGCACCTGCCAGCCTCCCTCCCCAGATCCCCACCACCCTCGGGCAGCACTGCCTCCGCACCGCGAACCCCCGCACACACACACCTGGCCCCAAAGGCGGAGTAGCCGCAGGCGCCGACGGCCACATAGATGGCTGCCGACAGCAGCATGCCTCGCTGCACCGCCGCCGTCATCTTGCGCATGGAGGGGCGCTGGGCGGCGGGGTAGATGTTGAACAGGTACTGGTGGGCGGTGAAGCCGTAGGAGACGATGGGGAAGGCCACCAGCACGCCCTCCCACCGCCACCACAGCAGCGGGCCTGCGCGGCGGAGAGCGCGCGTGGCGGAGGGGCGGTGAGGCATGGGACAGCGGCAGGGTGGGGCAGGAAGGCGAGGAGTGGCGAGATGGAGTGGGTGTTGTGTCGGGTTGGGGGCTGCTCAAGGAAGGGCAGCCTGAGCCCGCCCACCACACGCCATCCCCCGCCGCGCGCGCCTGTGTTTGGTGTGGGCGAGAAGGGCAGCAGGGCGATGAGGGCGCAGAAGAAGAGCAGGAAGACCATTGAGAGGGAGGAGACGGCGGTCAGCAGCTGCGCGCTCTTCACCAGCAGCGCCACGGGCAGGCAGCCCGCCATCGTCACCACGCCCAGCATCATGTTGCGGGACGGCTCCGCCCCGGGGGGGATCACCGTGCCTGCGGGGCGAGGGCGGGGGCGGGAGCGGGGCGAGGGTGGGCTGGGTGGCCGGGTGGCCGGGAGGCTTGGTGGGCTGCCGCCACGGCTTGGCCAGCACAGGCGGCTCTGCAAGGGCCCAAGCACACGGCCCCAGCAGCGCGGGCTGGGGGCAGGGGTGGGCCCGCCGCCAGGCGGCCGAGCACAGCCGCGTGCTCCCCTCTCGTGGCCGCCAGCGCCCGCCACCAGCACAGCACACAACATCACCTCACCCACAACCACACAGCCCACACACACGCAGCCACACGCAGCCACCAGCGCTCATCTCCCCCACACACACCACCACCCACCCACCCCCCACCTCACCTGCCACGCTGCTGATGGTGTCTGTGAGTATGTTGAGGTAGGCCACCACCGAGCCCACGTTCATGGCGATGATGCAGGAGTCGACGGCGGCCTGCCCCGCCCGCCCGTACGTGTGCCTCGCCAGCTCCTCGTACGACCGCTTGCCCGTCAGCTGGCTGCTCATGAGCAGCAGCCGCATGCTGAGCTCCGCCGCCGCCAGAGTGACCAGCACCAGCACCACCGCCAGGCCCAGCCCGCACGTCTTGAAGCAGAAGGGGAAGCCTGCGGCGGGGCGGGGAGCGCAGCGGGGGGCGCGGCGGGTGAGGGCAGCAGGCGGCGGCACGGCGCCGCTCCCCCTCTTCTCCAAGCAGCTGCAGCACAGCTGCAGCACAAGGGCTGGCGTTGCACCAGCGGCGCACCCAGCACGCCCGCCCCCAGCACAGCGGTGACAAGGTTGAGGATGGGCTCCCCCTCCCACTCCAGCGCAGACGAGCTGTCACCCCCATCCAGCGGGTCGCTGTACCGCGGCTCCAGCAGCTGCCGCCCGCTGCGGCTGGTCTGCACCGGGTGCGTCGGCGCAGCAAGGGGCGCGTGCGTGGGTATGAGCGATGGCGCCTTATTTTCAAGCAAGGGCTGCTGTAGCAGCCGGCCTCAGGGCAGGGGCAGCCAGCCGGCAGAGGCTGGCGGCGGCGGCGGCGCCACTGACCGGGGCGGGGCGCTGCTGCGGGGCGCGCACCCTGAACATAAAGTCCGGTGATGCGGGCTTGGTTGCGCTGCCGCCCTGCACGGGAGCAGCTGAGGAGCTGGCCTCCTCTTGTGACTGGTTGCCCGTGCCGGCCGCCCTGCGAGCCCGGGTGTCGCTGGCGGCTCTAATACTGGCCGTGAGCTCCATCATGGTGCTGCCCGGTCAGGGGAGTTATCAAATTGGCGGTGCTCCCCCCCACTACCGCGCCCCGCCCTCCCTGGGCGTGTAGCGAGGGCTCATGGCGATCGCTGGTGACAGAAGAAGACGATGGAAGTGAAGCTGGCCAGCAGCGCGTTGCGAGAGCCAAGCAGGCACTGGGCGGCGACCTGGCCGCCCGCCGCGCCCAGCGCGTTTCGGCCTCTCCTTTGTTTGTTGAGATTTCATTACACTGACCAGGCTGGGATCGACTCCCCTCTCAAAGAATGCCCACGTCGTGCTCCTCCGCGTCCTTGGCCAGCTCGGCGAAGAGCTGCGCCCGCTCCTGGCCCCGCTCGGCCTTTGCCTTCTGCACCGCCCTGTCAAAGGCTGCCAACTCCTCCGCCGTGGGCGGCTTCAGCGGCACTGGGTCCCCCTCCACCACAGCTGCAGGGCGGGGCGAGGGTGTGCAGGCTGCAGTAAGCGTGCGAGGCAGGGAGCAGCAGGCCAGGTGGGCGGCGACCCCTGCAAGCCACAGTGGCACACGCCGATCTCAGAACACAGACGCACATGCACATTGGCAAGAGTTGGCGGTTCCTTCACCAGCTCTGCAGTCCCCGCCACCAACAGCGCCCCACCCCACCACCAGCAGGTGCCAGGCGTCACCAGCGACAAGCAAGGCCGCCCCGCAACTCTCGACGGCAGCGAGGCAGGGCTCACAATACATGCGGCGGTTGGGGGTGGTCTTGGTCACGCCATTCTCGTCCACCGTGGTCTGGCCAGGGATGAAGGTGATGCGCTGGTAGGCTGGCACCATCAGCAAGCCGCTCCCGTCCGCTGCCCTGATGGCGTGGCCCGGGATGGGGATCAGCTTCTCCCGAGGGCACAGTGCCGCCAGGGTGGTCCCACATGCGTGCTCCAGACGCACCGCAGCCAGGCGGGCAGCCTGCTGCTGCTGAACCGCCTGCGGGGTGCAGGCCAAGGCGATAGCAGCGGCTGACTCGGCGGCAGCCTTCGCCAGCGCAGGGTTCAGCGGTGCAGCGATGGCGGTGGCTGGAGGAGGCGCTGCGCCCCCGGCAGAAGCCTGGCCGCTTGAATCGGACATGGGAGGGTGGCAGAAGGCGGGTGGGGTGTGGAGCTGCGAGCGATGCGATCACTTGTGTGAGTACGGGGAGTGTGGGAGACCGGCCTGCCCCGTGCTACTGAGAAGCCTGTTGTTCGTTCAGTGCAAGGCTAGGAAACAAAGAGAGTCCAACATCTGTGCATTTTCAAAGTGCTAATTCAAGGAAAGATCAGTGGCGCCACGGCGGCAGCGCTTGCAAGCTGCCCCTGTTGCAAACTTGTTCGGGCCGCTGCAGCAACGCAACGGCGGTGCATGCCCATTCTCGCTTTCTGGGGGCTCGTTTCAATGATTGGGTGAGGAAGGGAGGGCGGGCAGCGGGAGAACTGTCTCCTGCGGCGCCCGCGTCGGGCAGGCGTGCGAGCCCGGCCCCTTGAATCTCCCGGGCTGGCCGAATGCGGCTGAAGGCCCGGACCAAATCCTGCTGGGCTACAACAAGAGCAACAAGCCGCTCTCCGAGCTGGGAGAGTCGGCCCCGTGCATGCGCTGCAAGCTGGGGGCGGTCCTGGAGCGCGCCGCCGCCGTTTAGGATCCCACTCATGGCTTTGGCACCAGGTGGGGACGGTTCAATTGTACCTTCCTGAGGAGGTACTGGGTGGATGAGAGGGGCTGGTGCCTTGCTGGAGCCCAACACGGTGTTCCATGTTTCCTACTTGTAAAGCGCTTCTTTCGCCTGTGTCAAATTCCATTACACTGAACAGGCAGGCCTCGACTGCCCCCCCTACTCCTTGTTGACGCCAAACACCGCCTGGTCCCCCAGCTCCTGGCCTTTGAGCCCCTCGGTGACCGCCTTGCGGAAGAAGTCCTCAAGCGTGTCGGTGCCGTAGGAGGGCGTCTGGTCGGCCACGTACCGCTCGGCCACGGGGTCCCACAGCAGCATGCTCTCCACCGCGTAGTACCTGCCAATCTTGCCAAACTCGGCGCCGTCCTGCAGCGGCAGCGGGCAGCGGACCGCGGGCGTCGACCGCAGGCAGGCGGCACCGCCTGGGGCTGCCGCAGGCTGGCGCGCACCACGCCACCACCTCTCACTCACCATCTCTTCATGCTCCCACGCCTCCCGCCCAGCCCACCTTGAGTCCCGGGAAGAACCTGGCCAGGAAGTCGAGGAGCGCGATGATGCCGTCCATGAGCGCCACCGGCACAGGGAAGTACTTGGGTTGGGTGCCCAGGATGCCAAACAGCAGCTCCGCCTGGTCCTTGGCGGTCAGGGCGCGGCCGGGGCCGCCGATGGGCAGCACCTGGTTGATCTTGTCCTCCTGCGGCAGGCGGCAGCAGGCGGCAGGCGGCAGGGGGCGGCAGGGGGCAGTGAGCGGCAGCTGCAGGCGGGGCGCAGGGGAGCGCAGCAGGCAGAGGAGCAGGGCGTGGCTGGGCCCGCTTGCCTGCCCCCCAGCACGGCCGATGCACCCCAGCCGCGCTCCTCCGCCCAGCCGCGCCTCCGCAGCGCGCCCCCGCCCCGCCCACCTGCGACACGCAGTCTGCGATGAAGGAGGCCAGGTCCTGCTCGCTGATGGGCTTGCAGGCGGCCAGCGTGCCGTCGCCAAACATCACATACGGCTTGCCATCCTTCACGAGGTCCACCTGCAAGGGCGGGGTGCGGCGGGGCGGGGCGGGCGCCCGGGGATGAGGCGCAGGCTGGGCAGCCCGCGGCCCTCCCTCCTGGCGGCCGCACGCCAGGGCTGATGCGCCGCGCTGCCCCTCGGCGCCGCCCCCCCCGAGCCTGCCGTGGTGCCCAAACGGCATCCTCAGCTGGCCTTCGAACCCACCCCGCAGCTGCCACCCCACCCAGCCCCAGCCCCTCCTCCCCAGGCCTGCACACACACACACACACGCACACACACACACACACACACGCCGCCCACCTGCCCCGCCAGCGACTTGAAGAATGCCGTGGGCCTGACGATGGAGTAGGTGATGTCTCCCGCCTCCTGCAGCTTGGCCTCAAACGCCAGCTTGGCGCGCTGGAACTCCAGCAGCGGCTTCTGCACGCAGATGGCGCTGAGCAGCACAAAGTGGGAGGCGCCCTGCGCGCGCCCCGCCTCCAGCGCGTTCAGGCTGGCCTGGTAGTCAACATCCCAGCTGTCCTGGATGCCACCTGCGGGGCGGCGGCGGCGTGGGACGCAAGGCGTGGGTGTGCTTGGCTGGACAGCACGCCAGGCGCTCAGCCTGCTCCGGCCGGGTCGCTGCTGGCGGCAGCCGCTGCTCGCGCCGCCACCTCTGCTGCCTGCCGCCTGCTGCCATCCCCAGCCGGGCAGCCGGGCGGCCCACCTGTGCGGCTGGCCAGGCAGGACACCACCACATCCACGTGCTCCTTGCACCCCTCGCGCAGCAGAGAGTCCACGCTCATCACGTCGCCAAACCGCACCTCTGCACGCGGGCAAGGGCAGTGAGGGACAGGTCAGCGACTTCCACAGTCGGCAGATTCCTTCCACTTGATTACATTCAGGCACGTTGGCCGGGTGCCCCCAAACTCACCGCCTCCAGCCTGCCTCGCCACCTGCTGTCACCTGTGCACCCTCCCCACCAATACCCACCCACCCACCACCCACCAGGCACAACTCAGCAGCAGTGGCCCCGCCCCACCTGCGCCCTCCAGCTCCCGCCGCACATCCTCCGCCGTCTTCTTGCCGCCGATGCCCGACCGCTCCCGCGCAAAGGCCACCACCTGGTACCCGCGCCTCACCAGCTCCCGCACCACATACTTGCCGATGTAGCCCGTGGCGCCCACCACCAGCACACGAACCTCGCTGGTGGGCCGCTGCCGGTAGTCGCCCTGCTGCGCCGCGGCCAGCACGGGCGCCGCCTGCAGCCGCGCCGCGCGTCGTTGCCGCGCCGGCGCCTGCACGCGGCCGGCCTGCAGGCAACGGGCAGGCAGGTGGTGAGGCACGGTGGGCAGATGTGCAGCCTGCCGGGCGGGCGGCGGCAGCGGCGGCGGCGCCTGCAAAACCCTGGGCCAGGCGATTGATTAATGACCACACCAGGCACGCACTCACCGTGCTGCTCACGCCCAGGGCCGCGCCTCCCGCCAGGAACTGCTTGCGGGGTGCTGCTGCTGCCTTGCAGGCCCGCCCAAGGTGGCGCTGCTGTGCGGAAGTGCTCAATTGGGCACACTGCTGCAGAGAAAGCGCCATGGCCGCCATTTCAGCCGCTGCAGGCGAGAATTGAGATGGGTGAGCGGCGCTGCGGCGCCTGGGTGCTCTGCGACAGGCACTACCGACTATGCTCGATGCGATGGCGCTGCTGGATTGCACAAACAGGAGGATGAGGTTCTATCCTGCCAGCCAGTCAGCACGTCAGGGCCAGCTCAGCCGCCTGCCTGCTGGCAGGCATCGGGCTTTCTGGGCATGACAGGCTCAGTCACTGTTGATCCGAGTTCGCACAAGGTGTTTACTCTGCTCTGAACTGCCCACCGTGCCACCCACTACCACCCAACTCTGCTCCCTCCACCCAGACACGCCCACAGCCACACACGAAGCAGCCATGGCCACAGCAACCTGCACAAATCGCATGATGCAGGCCCTGCCCGCGCGGAGTGGCAGCGCCGGGCGGCGCCCAACGCCCGCGGTGGCGCGCTCGGCGGCGGCAGCCCCGCCGCGCCGCCCCCCCGCGCGCCTGCAGCTGCTCGCGTCAGCCTCCTCCACGGTGGCAGCATCTGCAGGGGCGGCGCAGCCGACGCCGCTGACCATCCCCAGGGGGCCCCAAGAGACTGTGCAGCAGGCCGCGGCCGCCTGCATCCGCGCCTACCAGGCTGGCGTGCGGCGGCAGCGGGTGGAGCTCCTGCTGCCGCTCATCGGAGCCACAGACCTGGTGGGAATCCCTTGCCGTGCATAGGCTGCAGTGGGCGTGATGTGGGCCCAGGGGTGCAGACTGGGTGCAACACTGGACACGCCTCCTCCACACCCTGGCCCCGCAGGATGACTGGCCGGGCGGCATCCGCCAGCAATTCAAGGTGCGCCCACTATGTGCACGTGCCTGCTGTGCTTGCTTCTGAATGGCTACAGTCCGCTGCCTGCCTGCCTGCCTGCCCGCCTGCCCGCCTGCCTGCCAGCCCCTTGGCTGACGCCCGCCTGCCCGCACCGCCGCCTGCGCCCGCCGCAGGCGGCGCAGCCCATGGTGGAGGAGCTGCTGCGCGAGCTGAAGCAGCAGGCGGGGCTGGAGGGGCCGCTGTCTGCGCGCATCGTGGAGGACGGCGACGCGGTGGCGGCGTGGGAGGGCAGCAGCCTGGCCGCGGTGCTGTTCCCCACGGGGGAGACGCTGGGGGAGGTGCGCAAGGTGGCGGAGGCGCGCCCGCAGGGCCTGGTGCTCATCATCAACCCGCAGTGGCAGGGCGGCAACGTCGTCTCCGACCTCGGCTTCCTGCCCTGGCAGCGCAAGGCCAACGAGCAGCTGGTGGCCAGCTTCCAGGAGGCAAGCCTGCCTGCCTGCCTGCCTGCCTGCCTGCCTGCCTGGCGGGCTGGCGGTGCTGCCTGGCGTGCTGGTGGTGCTGCCTGCTGGTGGCGCCGTGCCGCCGCCTGCGATGCCTCTGTCCTCAGCTTGCGCAGGGGCGATGTCAACACCGATTGCAGCGGCCGGGATGGCTGCAGGGCTGAGGCGTGCTCGCACGCGCGCCACCCCGCCCCACCCCCCTGCAGACCTACATCCTCAAGCAGCTGCGCATGAACAGCGACGACGTGCGCCTGCTCTACTCCTACCCCTCGCCCTGGCAGGTCAACCTCACGCGCCCCGACACGCCATCCCAGGTCAGACCCCGCTGCTCCGCTGCTCCTCCCAGCTGTGGTGGTGGGACCGGCAGGTGTCTGCATCATGGGGCGGGCAGGAGAATGAAGGACCAGGCTGCTGCTCGGCCAGGCCCCTTGCCGTGGGGTGCCTCCACCTGCGCAGCCTCTGACCTTGTCCCCTTCTTGTCTTGTGCGCAGAGCGAGTGCGTGGCGCAGCGCGAGCAGCGGCCCAGCTACAAGGAGCTGGAGGCGCTGCTGCGGGGGGTGGGCTGGAGCATGAGCAGCAAGCCGCTGGGGGAGCGGCTGCAGTATGAGGCCGCCTTCCTGCGCAAGTCGCTCGACTCGCCGCAGCAGCCGCCCCAGCAGTGAGGGCGGCGGAGGAGGCAGCGGCGGCGCGTGCTGGGCCCCGTGTCGCCCTGGCGCTGCCCTGTTTCTGAATTTGCAATCTCACCCATTGTTTCTCTGCCTTTCCGGCCTGTCGCTTTGCTGCCTTTCTCAGTGTTCCCTTTTGGAGCTGATTGTTGCCGTGAACCGTTGGCCTTTGTTGGTGTCTTCAGCCCACCAACCTCGTTGTCCATGTGGACCACGTCACTGCGATTGAAATCATGTGCATGGCAGAGCCGGAGAAGAAGACGGGGGATGGGGAACCCGGGACAGTGGCAGCTGCTGTCCCGCCGAAGCCGGTCAGCCCAAGGCCTTGTGCCTTGCGCAGCATGCCGCCGCCCGGCAGCGGCACTGGCAGCAGCTGCGCGGGAGGCTCCCCCGCGGCCTCCCACGAGGCCTCCCTTCCCAATAGGAGGCCCCAAGTTCCTCGCGGGCGGTTCTTAGCAGCTGCCGCGCCATTTCCGGCCCGTGGAAGCTAAGAGGTAGGTGCTCGTTCTGGCCGCCATAAAAACTCCCTCCCAGTCGCTTCTCCACTATCCGCTCTCCATCCTCCTCCTCAACTATCCAACCCTCAACTATCCACTCCAACACAACCATGGGCATGTTTGGCAAAGCTTTGAACATGGCCGCCAAGATGGGGGTGAGTGCCGGTCCTGCTGCTACCCCTGCCGCCCGCCTGCCCGCTTGTTATGCCCCAGTGGGTCTGTATTGGGCGCGAGACGCACCCGAAGCCACTCCGGGACCCCCCCTCCCCTTCTGCCAATGCCGCTCACCTGCCGCCCCACCGCCTCCCTCCTCTGCGTGCAGCCCGCCGCCCAGGCCCTTGGCGTGGACAAGAAGACGGTGAGCATGGTGCAGCAGGCGGATGGCGCGGTGAACAACCCCAACGCCTTCAAGAACGCCGCTGTGGCCAAGGGCCTGAACGAGGCCACCGGCGGCCACGGCGCCGCAGCGCGGGTGGTCATCAAGGCGGCCACCACACACTGAGCCGGGGCTTGGCTGGGAAGACACCCGCGCCGCGACACTCTTGACACCCCCAAACATACTCCCCTTCTACATAATCCTTCTATGCTATGGTATGCTTCCAGCATGTGATACCCCTTGCCCCTTCCGTTCACCGTCACCTTGCAGCCCCATTGGGCAACCCTCCACCCATCGCCCGACTATGCTCCTCGCACTATATACTATACCTATGGAAGTCCACAGATGCCTGTTCCTTCATTCATCTTTTACGATCTGCTGCTCCCCCCACCCCAGCCTCTCAATGTAACCGCGCATCCATCCATGCTATATGCTAGAGCAGCACAAGGGATGGCAGCAACCACGGTGGCGGCAGGCAGGTCAGTGTTGCGCCTGGTGGTAGTTACACGCAACAGGAAGCTGTGCAGGCAGGCCAGTATATAACAAGAGGTGGAGACACAGCAGATTGCAAAATGCAGGTGGCGAATGGTTTCATGTGCAGAGCAGAGTCCTTCAAGGCTATGGATGCGAAAGGAGCATAATACAACAACAACAAACATCAACAACAAGCCGCCACTGCCCGCACTAGCCGCTCGCACAGCAGGCTCGCTGGCAGCGCCACGTCACAGACACCCAGCCCTCTGCGAAGAAAAGATAGTCTAAAGCAGAAGGCTGGGGTGCCTCCGCGGCAAGCCTCGACCCGCGGGTGGCGGGCAGCGCCAGGCGCGTGCTGGTGGTCAGTGGGCCGCTATGGCGGTGGGGCTCATCTCTGTGCCAACCACCATGCCGATGCCCTTGGTGCGCCCCTCCCTGCAGCGCAGCCAGGGGCGGGGCAGGTGTCGGGGGCTGCCGGCCGGTGTGCGTGCTGGACGGCCCTGCGGCTCCCTGCGACTGCTCAGGCATTCCTGCTGGCCCGCCTGCAGCCACCGCTGCTGCGCCCCGCCTCAGCCCCTTGGGCCTTGCTGGTTGGCGCGGCCCCACACCTGAACACAAAGCGGGTGCCGGGCGTGAGGTACTCCGGGCGCTGGAGGAAGCGGAAGCGCACGCAGGCGCGGTCGCCGCTGCAGCGCGCGCCAGGACGGCCAGCCAGGGAGAGCGGGATGGGGAGTCGGCACACCCTTGTGGCCGCGCCGCTCCCTTGTGTGACAACACAGCCACCCGACGCAACTGGCAGCATGTTCAAACGGCATGGTTGCAAGAGCAGGCTGGCGGCGGTGGGGTGCAGCCCAGGCTGGCGGCGGCGGCGGCGGCGGGCCCACCTGCGCAGGCGCTCTCGGTCCATGGCCACCACGCGTGCCGCCTGCCGCACAATCTCGCAGTGGATGAC